ATTATTATTATTATTATTATTATTTAACATGAATTGTACATTACAAGGATAGTTTGGCCAAGTTCAATAACGCCGGAATGGTATATTTTATTTATTTAATAATATTTCTCTTATGCACTCTATTTTTTATTTCATGCTTCAATTTTTTTTCCATTTTCCCCCAAAATGTTAATCAACGTCTGTATGTGAAGCGTGACTGTTGGTATCAGCCTAGGAACCTACCTAGGCCTAGTAAGAAGGGCCTGGGTAGGACGAACTCAGTCTGTAATTAGGCCTATAGTTTTTCCTCTTTCTCTCTAGCCTTTGGACTGTACAGATCTACACTTTATAAAAGGGGGTACTAGCTGTTGTTGTTGTTGTTGATATTATACTAACATGTAATAACATCCAAGAAAGTCACAGTTATAGTTATACACGTACATCCCATAAATCCGTAAGATATCTCAGGCCTACCGTAGGTAAACATAGAAAGAGCAATAATAGTAAAACTCGAGCGTCACGACATTGCGAAGTGTCTGCTCTTGTTCCTCGTATCAAACTTAGATGTGTATAAGAGACAGGTATGGCACACTAGATAGGCCAATCGCCCCCCCCCCCCGCTTCTCCTGCTATAGTACAGTGTACTATAGTAGGGCCTAGGCCATTGAATTGTTTTCATTTCTTTCTGTGATTAAGGCCTAATCCCTACGGCTAAAATAAGACTATTTCACTCTGTGTAGGCAGGCCCCATGAATTGATAATATTTCAGGCATCCTAATTTTTGGAAAGAAAAACACACAGGGACAACTTATTTTTTCTTACATTGGTTGTACCATGTACCATTAGTTGTACGGACTGCTATGGTGTGTGATTACAGACAGGACCCACGCTTTGTCGCGAGGAGATTAATAAAAAGATAACTGAAGTTATGCATGACGTCAACATACGAAGCCACGCCCCCTCGGCTGAACCCTTTGTATTTAGCAACTACCCGAATTTTCCCTTCATATTAACTATATAAATATCAGTCTGATAGCATCAAAATACAGTCTGTCGCCCTCTGTCGCACAGATTTGAAGCAAGAAAGATGAAGGGTAAAAAAATCGTTAATTTTGTCCATAATGACGTCATCAAAAAGAAGAATAAAGAGAATTGTCTCGGTTATAACATACTGAAATATGGGAGACGATCTATTTAGGATAAGCGCGATACGCTCAAATGCGTATTTTAGAAAATGACGTCGTAGATAAAATACGCATTTATTGAATTCAGACGGCAATATGATGACGTCACAATTTCGAATCAGCCATAATGATCTATAAAATCATATCTACAACTCATGTGCTTTTAGAATATGTAATAAAAAATTGGGTGTCGCCTTTCATCCTAAGGAGCTATAAATGATTTAAAATAGCATATTTTAATTTTGACGCACGCGTACGTGCATGTTATGACGTGCACACAGAAAATTAAGGTACATGACATTCAACCTGACCTGAAGTTTATGACCACTGAATATGATTCAGAAATGACGACTAATTAGGATGATATGCGGTCATCAAAGATTTGAGGAAAGGAAGATGGGGGGGGGGTCAGAAAAAAAATCATTTAAAAAAAATTTCAGATGGCATCTTGGTGATATTTCCCGCACGATGCCATTAATTTAAAAACGCAAAAGAAAGAAAGAAAGGAAGGGAGGGGGAAGAGAGAGGGAGAGAGAGAGGAAGAGGGAGGGGGAGAGAGAGAGAGAATGAGAATTGTTGAAATAAACTGCATATATGACTCAGATTTTAACGAAAGAGCAGGGTAGGCCTACAGCCGGAGTACATCTTATTTTATAGCATGATACCGGTATACTCTGTCCACAAACATCTGAATTACTTATTATAAACGATTCGAGTGCGCGTGCCTTTATTATAATTTGAGAAGTATGAGAAAAAGCGTGCCAAGATAAAATTGGTTTTCGGCACATAAAGTAGGTAATGTAAATACATCAAAGATAATTAGGTTTTATTTTTTTATGGTACCTCACAGCGATTAATAAGATCAATAATAATGAATTTTACATATAAGGGTGTCATATCCGGCAATCTAGAGGTATAATTTTCCAAAATTTTACCACCTCAACCACAACTGTGGTGGGGTCGAGATGCGTGTGGACTTACAGATTTTAAGTCGGTAAAATAAATACATTAAAGACATGTTTTTAGGTTGTATTTTCTATGGCATCACACATTAGATCTCTGTTGCTGCCGAAAATAGCTGATGAAAGATCAGGAGAATTTGTTGGCTCTTCATTTTGACTACATAATGTTGGTGATGATGAAGATTTTGTGTCGTTTCCGGCCATCTAGAGGTACCATTCTTTAAATTTTCTCACCTCAGCTCCAACCATGGTGGGGCTTAGGTGAATGTGGCCACACAACTTTGAGGTAGGTCAGATAAATTAAATACATCAATGAAAGTGTTTCTTTAGTTTTTATTTTATGGTACATCACTCATAATAATTAGATCTCTGTTAATGCCGAAAATCCATGATTAAAAATCATGAGAAATTTGCTGGCGCTTCATCTAGACATGATGGTGTGATGATAATGAATTTTACAATAAAAGTATCATTTCACTTATAATAAATAGAATAAAAAAAATATTCTGATTAATATAGGCTCATTAATATAAGATATAATATAATTTATTTTTTTATAATTCATGGTCCTACCTTTTTTCGACGCCTTTAGACAATTTTATTGTTGAAGGCGCCGGCACAAATATCCCACCATTACCATCTAAATGTACTATTTCCTCAAATTTTCTAACCCACCTCAGCTCCAACCATGGTGGGGCAGGGGTGGTTGAGGACTCACTACTTTTAAGTAGGTAATGTAGATACATCAAAGAGAGTGTTTTTAAGTTACATTTTCTGTGGTTCATCACACATACTACTTAGGTCTCTATGGTTGCCGAAAATAGCCGATAAAAAAAATCATGAAAATTTGTTGGCTCATCATTTTGACTATATAATGATAGTGATGTGATGATGATGAATATTTACTACAGGTAGGCCTATTATAAATGTGTCATTTCTGGCCATCTACAGGTACTATTTCTTCAAATTTTTGCACGCACCCCTTACCGCCAAATCCTGCATCCGCCCCAGACTTGCACAGTGGGAGTTTCGAACCCCTGACCTCAAAGTTGGGATTCCAAGCAATAATCGATGCGCATGCGCCAACCGCTGCTACAAGGACATTTAAAGTGTATAACCTTGCTTCACTTCATCCTTAATGCTAAACAAGTCTGATTCTAAATATAAATAAAATCTTACTCTTTGTATCCGGCAGTACATTTTTGATCATGTTTATTAATGCCTTTTATACAAATCTGTTTAGCGGCAGTTTTTAAGCTTTCGTGTATATAGAGAAAAGATTGGTGATAGTGAGCCAAGGACTTTTAAAGTAAACAATTTTTCTTAATTTACTCCTTCCTTGATGCCTAAAAATCTGATTCTAAACATACACAAAACCTTACAATATTTTTATTATTTAACGGCAGTTTATATAAGCACTTGTGTGCACAAACACGAAAAGCACCTTAACGATCGCACTAGAACGCTTTTACATACGTCACAGTTCCCAAGTACAGGTTCAATCTTCAATTCCACTTGGTACCAGTATCAACATGAATTGAATGGTAGAACGTTTAGTTCCACTCAACACTAGAAACCTACAAATTCAAATAAGACGTTACCAATTATCTGTGCACCCCACAAATAACAATAACATCGGGCTAATGCATGCAGATAAAATTTCATGTTTAACATAAATGGCTTTATCCTTTCTTTCCAATATGAAATAGGCATATTAATAACTAACATCCATTACATTAAATTGTGATAAACATATTAACATCTCAATGTGAAAGGCTTGGCATTCATTAACATTCTGATAACCATATGGTAAATCTGTGTCCTTGAGCACGGAACAGTAGAGAAAATTCGATCAGATTGACAAAGTAAACTAAGCATCTACTGGAAGGAATCCCAATATCTGCAGACGGATCCGTTTCGGCCTACCAGGCCTCATCAGTGCAGCTAGGGTACAAACCCAAACGAAACGTTCGACCAGCTTAGGTAGGGCCCAAACTAGTCCCACGACCACTAATGATTACAGAGCCAAACCAAGGCAATATATATATACACATTATCATTAAGCTCTTTGACTGTTTGTAGTGTAAATTTTATATTTCATTGTTATATAGCCGACCTAAGAGATGTGTATAAGAGACAGCTCCAACGGTTTCACGAACTTCACCAGTTTTCTAGCTATCCCGGGGCCTACTTCCACATGGGTTGCCAACTGCATACCCTATCATTTTCCAATAGAAATTTAAGCTGTAAGCATGCTGTACTAGTTTTGAGCAATCTTACTAACAGACCGACAGACAGCACAATAAACCTTCAGGAATGAATCCATCACCTCCTTCGCAGAGGAAACTATAATGGTTGACGTCAAAGTTACAGTAGTTATTCTTTTGTTTTGAATAGAGTCTGTGTGATCTTCGTGTTTCGGGTCGTTGGCTAATTGCACTTCTTCATTTCTTTATCAAACCATGATTTACATTTCCTACTTTTTGATTAAAACCAATAGTAGTAACATTAAAAACTGCACAGTCTTCCCGGGCATTAGAATTTAAGCAAGGATGTATCTTATTTTTATACCTCCTTGATTTAAGTGACTTGACTGATTGCAATTTATTACAAACTTATTGATTTTACGCTTAAGTTTACCATGGGGGATTAAAGTAAGAGTTCCAACAGGCATAGATCAAAGGTTCACTATCCCGCGATAAGTAAATTCTGACCCCACTATCAGCGAGTGATCTCTTGGTCATAACACATTTTATTCCTCCGTGGTCTTACTACGGCGACCCCAAAACCTTTCGTAGCTTAACTGCCATTCTGAACACACGCTTAAGGATATCATTCATTTTGTTTCAGGTAGGCCTAATTATCCACATTTTTATGTTCATTATATTGCATTTATATGTTATTTTACGCCTAATGTCTAAGCCTACTTAACAACTTGGGTTTTAAGTATTCTGGTTCCGATCTCTGATACGTTAATTCTCAGACGGACCAATAATTAACACATGCAACTTTAAAGCCTCACAACTTACATTCTTAATAAAACTGATTGTGGGAGTTGCATTAAAATTCAAACCACTAAATAGAACATCAAGTTGGTTTACAGATAATAATGGAAAATTATAAGTAAGATAAGGTAGGTAGGTAGTCCCATTTTCATTATTAACATAGGGAGCAATGAGCAGTTCGGTACCCATGGTACTAAGTGTGGACATTCTGTAGTAGAATGCCCAGTTCCTTTCCACGCTGCCTTTTCAACTCTCTCAGTATATTTTAGTCAGACACCCAGACACTAAACTCGCGGGTGGAGAGAACCAAACCTAGTCAGGTGCACAAATGCAAAGCGAGGTTTCGAACCCCCCCCTCCCCATACCCTCCCAAACCTGATGGTTGAGAAGCCGAAGCGCAACACCTACACTCCCACAAACACCTGTACTCCCACAAAGTACACTATTATAAAGTCGGGATGGGTAACATTTGAATTGTTCATGGAGGGATGAAGAGGAAAGAAGGAATTAATTTAAGCTGTTTTGAGTTGCTTTGAAGTTTTAGCTGTTCTTGTTGTCTTTAAGTTCTGTGTTCCTTTAGCACGCACCTTTGTTTTATACAAAGTGTTCTGCTTTTGTAAAAGTCCAAAATTACAGTATTATTTTATCATTAAGCTCTTTGACTGTTTGTAGTGTAAATTTTATATTTCATTGTTATATAGCCGACCTAAGTGGTATCGGTTACTCTACAGTATTTTAGATGTCCCGAGCTAGACAACCATATATTTATAATTATTGTTTTGGCGATTACTGTATTGTGTAATACGCGTTGGTTTAATTAGGCTTTTAAGCCGTGGATTAGATTTAGTTAAACAGTACAAATTTTACTTTAGTAATGACAATGCATGAATTTAATTTCCAATATCATGATTCGATAGTAGTTTATTATTGAATAATGTTTATATTTATTTTGTTGATTCGGATAATAAATTCATAGTTTGACACATGATTACAGATATCATTCCTTTGTATCAGTCTGTCCGTATTACAGTCTTACAGATTTACCACCAGGACTTTGATGGGCAGGATCAAATGAAAAGATTACTGTAATCTCATGGGTTTGAATAGCCTAGGTCTATAAAATCAGTTTGCCGAATGCCGGGCTGCCGAGTCCAAGAATCTATCCCAGTTGCTAATTCCAAAATTGCCGACTAACATGCTTGGATACAGCAGCTTTGATATTTTAAAATTTATCTTAGGGTCTTGGTGTTAAATGTAATATAAAATAAAATAGCACACAGAAAACAGTGAAATTGGAAAAACAATTGGTTAATGAAAGGCCCTAAAAAAACAGAAGAGCGCATTTCTGGGCAAGCTGAAGTGCGGTTTCTAGGTGAAAATGAGATCTGTTTTGGACGAATAATATTCTTAAATTAGACATTTGCTAAACATTTATGTAGAAGGTCATAGCTCTTTGCTCATTTACAACTTGGCACCTGTTGGGCATAGTTCATAACTGGTCCTCCGTCCATATTGTTAGTACCTGCATGGCGTTTCCTATTTTAACATATTCTTGCTGCTTATAATTGTTAACTAACATAATAAAATATCACACAGAAAAAAAAGGAAATTTGTAAACACTTTTAGTTATTAACAGACACAATGCTAAAGAGACTAGTATTTTCGGGCATCTATTATGTAAAAAAAATAAAATCAAGAAGGCTCTTGTTCCCCTACCCTTATAGTTTTCTCTTCATGTTTATGAGAGCGCCCCTGAATTTGTTAATTTCAAATAAATACCCGTGTACACTCGTTTCAAAAATACGTAGAGGGTATCTCTATGAGTGAAAAAAATCACCATGACCGTGTTTTACACTTATAACGTCATGCATATCATCTCTACCAAACACACAACTGATATTTTTTTCAAGAGGTAGATTTCGATTATTCTCATTGATTTTACAAATACTGCGTGAACACTCGTTTTCCACAATCACATGGAAAAGAAATGTAATACACCTCAACCTAAGACATAGGGCCTATATATATTTTATTTAAGGATAGGTGTTAACACGGTACTATATAAGATCATGTAATGGTAACTAGCATATGATTTTTTAAAGGGTAATCAGTTTTCAAATTAGAGTCTTTGGCGTACGTTTTTTATTATTAAAATATTATTTTTTCAAGATCAATAATGGATATACTAGAAGACTCTGCTTACTACCTTGAATCATATGCAGCATTCGTATCACAACATAATAAATTCAATAACTTACTAGAGTTGACTGAGTCGGTGTTTGTAGAAGATGTCGTTAAGCAGCTGAACACTGAAGAAACTAACATTCGAATGTTGGGGATTGGTAGCTCTTCAGGTAAGACGTTTCTGGTATACCAATTTCTTAGAAGTTGATATATACTGTTACATGACATTGCTAAACATGAAAAAATGTCAAGAAAGGCTGAATTTTTTGTGTTTGCGATAGGTCTGCCAAGAAATATAGTAGACGCCGGAAACATTAGCCTATCAACGCTGCCAGGCAAGCCTTACCTCGATTTAGGTTCTGTTTCAGACATAAAAACGGCCGACATTATATTTTCCGTTGTGTATTGACATTTTTGAAATATAATATTTCATTGGAATTATTTCAAATTTGTTTAAAAAAATGACTCTGACCGAGATTTTGACAATTAAACAAACCTATTTCAGGCCTACTCTCGATTGACCGCAGTGTGCGAGATGCGAAATACAAAAACTAATCTTATTAAAACACTTTATTTACGGTAGTAGTCAGAGCCAATAGATAGAAAGATTTGCGACATTGAGAATTTAGAAGCCATTTTGTGACATACGCGATGCGCGTTCTGTGTCTAACGTGATGGGCGTTCCTGTGTATAATATTGTATAATACAGTTAGCGGCCTCCTGTATAGTTTAAAG